ATGCGGGAGCCAATACAGAGGCGACGCGTGTCTAATAGAGAAAGAGTAAAGTGGAAGCAGAAGAAGATTATATACGAGCATTTGACTCAGATTTACATAATATAAATTGTTGTTGTGAATTCTTTCTTTTTTTTTCCGAAATTCTTCAATTTGTAAGATCACTGAGCTAATGAAAGTAAAAGAAAAAAAACCCCAGTCGCCAGAGAGAAAGAGAGAAAAAAGATGATTTGAATTTTCTCCCTCTCCGATGTCCGGTGCTTTTACCGGTTTCGTGAGAGGGAGATGAGTGTAAACTAATAGAGTTTCTACGTTTGAGATGAAGTGTAAAGGATGTCCATGAGAGTTTTTGGTTAGAAAACGATGTCAAGTTATTCGCCGTCTGGTTTTTATGGGTCAGTTTGTGATTTCTTCATTGGGTTTAGTTTATGATTCCGTTCATTAGGTTAAGTTTTTCTGGGTGAAGTTTTTAGTTGAAGTTTTTTCCCTCGATACAAGATCTATCGTTTGCTTTACATGTTAGTTCTAGTCAATTCTGGCTATCTATTTGATTTAAGTTTTGCAATTCAAAGTTGTTCAACGGCGGCTTCACTAAAGCTAATTCGGAACAAAATTGACAAAAGTAATCAAAGAGGGAGATTTATCTAAATTAAGAGAATTGTTATCAGGTTATCGTAATAGATATTGGAAGTCCGGCTGCTATTGTGGATTCGAGAACACCTAATCGTCTACCTTCGATTCAAAACAAGATCATCCTGGTATTACTGATGTGTCGTCAACATTGTTGTCCTCACTTGATTTATAGATCTATAGTGCAGAGGAATTAGTAAGTGAATCTCTCGATTATTTGTTCTTGTAACATTGATTCGATTCGGTCAATAATACAAAGCAAATCTTCGTTACAAGAAACTCTAATTCGTTCGAGTTCTATAGATTGAGTTTGTCTTTAAGGGAACTTCCACTTTTTGAGATTCACACTTATTTCTCTTTATTTATTTAAGAATCTCTCATTAGCTAATTGTTGTTACACATTGTCAAATATCTTTTAATCCCTATTAATAATGCTAATGAAGGAGGATTCAAAGACTGTGATCTTAATAAGACTTTCACGAGTTTAGTTTACGATTACGAAGATTCTAAATAGTTACAAAGTGAACTTGTTATAATCTCTAGACGACAATTACTTCAGCAACATTCATACAAATTCTACCATATGTGGGTTTCATATTTAAGCCGATTTTCATTTACTACAAGTGGTTCAGGACTCATAGCTCCATGTCTGAAACTTCAACCTCAGTCCCATTCACCAAACTACCGGCGAAGACAAAAGGTTGAAAAATGGAGTTCTCTTGAAGGTTGCCGTGTCTACGTTTGAAGAACTTCACTTTCGTTTCTCCCTCCTTATTATGCCTCGCTTCTTTACGCTTTCTTGTACTGCTGCTTCTGAGGATTGAGATAGATGACGCAATGTGATCATCAGCCATGTCTGCATCTTGACCAAACTCCTCTTGTTGTTTCAGCAATGTGGCTTCGAGACTGAAATCTGATCTTGATCTGTGAATCACAGCTTTGGCATAGTTCTTGGAATGGTCACAGTCGAAAACCCTTACTCCTTGATCTTCAAGTGATACAAGCCATTCTGGAGATAAGGTTTTGTACAATGGTTCGGTTAGTCAAGAGAGACATAACAGCTTCAAAGAACAGATGCTAATGTTCCGTGGAACTAATGACTCGGGAAAACAGTCAACATGACCTATATTTTAGAGGTGAAGGAAGCACTTTACCGATGAAAGATGCGGGCGTCAAGCCTAACAGTGTTTCTGCATCTCTAATCACTTCACCTTGACTTATTACCCAATTGATCAAGTGATAAGGAATACGCGAAGTGGAGAACATGTTCATGTACCTGCTAGTTTCCTCATCTTGATCTTTGTTTCTCCTGTGTCATTGTTTGGAGTATCAAGCAATACAATCAAGCAACTTAAGCAATTACTTTTATAGCCAATAACTATAAGCATACCTTAGAGAAGCCATAGCATTGTCAAAAAGAAATAACCAGTTAACAGCGATGTTCTTCAAGTGTAAACTTCTCTGTGAAGTTCCATTTTCAGGGTTGAGGAATAGCTTCTCAGCCGATTGAATCACAGCTTCTCTTATGATTTCCGTTAAAGTAGCTTCATCTCCTGGACCCTGAAAGATTAAAAAGCTTCCCATGAAAAAACAACATGATTCAAGCATCTCTTATGCATCCGATTGTATGAAGACATACCATTAACCATGCCCTTGCAGTCTACTTACAGACAATATGATTCAATAAAAGAACTCAACGCATTTGAAAAATGAAGAAACATTAGTTTGAAACTTTCATGTCGACCAGAGAGAGAACACTAAACAATAGAAACAATGTTTAGCTAAAGAACCAACCAGTAGTGAACTTAGTTGCTGATATGGTTCCAGCAGCAGCATCTTGAGAATGACATCTGAAATAAGATCAAGAAAACATCACATGATTGAAAACTAAACCAATTGCTTCTCTACTCAATAGTCTAATTTTCCCCTGTAAAATCTTATGTTGTGAATTGGGCATTGCAAGAAATCTCCCATATGAATGGCAAGTAGCTACAAAAGAAAGGTCACAGACTAACCAAAAAAGTAGCAACTCTGGAACCCAGAAATCATCTGAAGCACATATTCCCGAAGATCTTTTTCTATCTCGGAATCAGATCTACTGAACTCCGAATCAAATCTCACGCATAAACTGAGCAAGAAAACCTGAGAAGCTACGATTCCAGCTAAGTAACCAACACTACATGACTCAGAATTCATCATCTCTTTACTCAATCTTTCACTAACAAAAGGCATGAAGATCTCCAAACAATCCTCCACTCTACAATCCTCATCAACTTCATCAACAACCCAAACACGAATCAAATCAGCAAAACTAAACCCAGAAACCATTACCAAATCATCTTCACTCCCATATTGTTCATCGACACAGCAATACATGCTAATATAACTTACAATCCCATCTAACAATCTCGAAGCATCACTCCTCTTAGTATGAACCAAACGACTCAGCTGGTAAACAACGGGAGATAACAGAGCTATCCTCTTTACGCCTGAGAATGAATCAGACAAAGAAACTAACAACTGGAAGAAACTCGAAGTTAACCTAACGGAATCGTCTTCAAAATCAAGCTTCGATGAGTGGAATCTGATCGCGGAATAGAACCAGAGGAGCTCGAGAGGTGGTGGGTCGGAGAGATCGTGAAGGACACGAGTGAAGATGGAATCAAAATCGGAGAAATGGCTTCTTCCGTTACGATACTGGAATAAGAACTGCTTGACTGAGTCATTGAGAAGAGGTTTCAGAAATTCGAGGTGGTGATTCTGAGGCTTAGGGTTACAAATCGGAGGTTGCATTTTTTTTTTTTTTTTCCGTTTCCGGTGAGTGAGAGAGAGGAATTTGAAAATTTGGGGAAGATGAAGGAAATAGACAAAAACCCTATGGGATATGAAATTCAAAGAAAAGGGGGAGAGAATAAAGAGAGGGAATCAGAAAGGCTAAAATGTGTTTATTTAACAATTTCAAATTTGGATTCACTCCAAAATTAGCAAAACAAATCGCATTATATTTATATTTTTTCTTCTCATTATGGCATTATTATTTTTGCTTTATATTATCAATCATACACTTTAGTAAACTAAAAAAAAATTGCTAGTTGCAAGTCTGAATTAACATACTTTTTGATATATCATTGGTGCTCTTTTGGTTGGAGAGGATAGTGAAGTGGTCTCAAGTCTCAACCATCAGTTTCTCTTCCCATTTGCTATTCTTCATTACCAAATACTATCAGTTATGGTGTTTTTTTTTTCAACGAAAATGAAGGATTTCTCTGCCAGATTTGTCTCTCGTTTGCAAGATTCTTTCCTATGTCGTTGATTTAGTTATGTTCAATGTGTAATATCTTGTATAACATTTGTATTAAGCCAATTTGGTTTTGTTCTTTTGTTTTTCTCTCTTGTTTCTTGCTAAATACATTGCATC